GTTAACAAGGTACGAAAGCATAGAACTGTCACACGACAGAATTATTGTTGAGCTGTAGCTCATAATAAGAATCTCCCAGGAATGAGAAATCTTCATCATAAATACTAGATAACCATCTTGTTATGGGTGTAATGGTTTTGTGGTATGACATCATTTTGCAGTGTAAACATGGAGAACACGGGATCTTTAAAATAAGTTATTTCATCTATAATGTTTGAAGTTTAATGTTGACACAGACATGTTCTGCCAGCTCAGCTCCTGTGTCCCTGCTGAAAGCTGAGTCAGGAGCACAAAGCTGGGTTCAGTTCACTGGTACTGAGTGCAAACTGGAAACAGCTCTCTGACAGACTGATCAACCCAGTAATATATATGAGACTAATGCATTAATAATAATAATAATAATAATTCAAGTTTCAAGTAGTTTAATTGTCAATGAATTGAAGAGAATTGAAATTGTGTTACTCTCTTTCCCAGTTACAACATTAAACAAATAATCAACAGAAATTGCACAATTCAATAACATTTGAAACTAGAAGCACTGGGAGAGTGCAAACCTCCTCCAAGACCAGTTTCCTCCATCCTGTAAGAGTTAATGTGTAACAGNTGCCTTGCAACATGACGAGCACAGAGCAGCGATGGAACCTGAAGTTTTGCTGATTTTTGTGCATTTATTTAATTTTAGAGGAACTTAAACGCCATTGCCGCAGAATTGCATTACTACGCAGAGCAGTGTTATTTTCAGGCTGAGAAATCATGTTCAGGTAAAGTAAGTTTTTAAAGTAAGTTGAATTACTCTATAATCATAGCTATTAAATTACTAACTAGTTATAGCTAATAAATTAATTATAAATCAATCAAAATTAATTATTGTACACATTATAACATTAACAAATATAACACTTATGATTTGAGCTTCTATTTTTTATTACTACTTTTAATAAATTAAAGATAATCTAAGACATACATTAAAACTGTTCTTCTGTTCTTTTCCTTATCTAGACCAGACCCCTGTACTGCAGGATTAACCTTAGTGTACCAGTCACTGTTTAGCATAGAAACGGGCAGTGAAGTAGTCTTCTGTGTTTGGTTTATGTAAAGCAGCCTGAATTAGTGCAGGTGTTTAGAAACCATGTGACTTTTCTAACAGATATATAAACATCTTACTGCCTGCAGGTCTATAAATGTTTGTTTAAAAGTCAGAATTTAAATATATATCATTCTATAGACAAATCAAAATGCTCTGCTTTTATTTAGAAACTGGCTTTTGTAGTGCTTTTATGTTGAAGGTGAGTAAATATTTACATCATCAGTCTTCAGCCCAACGTGTACGCTGGTGGCAAATTCTCTGTACTCGTAATGTTTCTGATTTAGACCTCGTTTACACCAAAACAGTTTTTCCAAAACAGTCTTTATTTGTTGTTTCTAATAAGATTCTTTWAAACGCTGCAACTYTGTTGCAACTCTCCAATTACATGAAATATTTTCATGAAAACAATCCTGATCAATACAGGGGCCATGCCAGGCTGATATGTATGACATAAAAATACACCAAACATAGGAAGCAAGTCAAAATGCAAATAAAGCTTACGTAGTAGGTGTGTGTGTGTGTGTGTGTGTGGTGGGGGGGTAGGGTTGGGCGATATTGGCAAAAAAATTAATCACGATTAATTGTGGTATTTAGTCGATAATGATTAATTTGACAATTAATTCCCTGGACCACTGCGTGCCCTGGTCACATGACCAATTTAGTGGGAAAGATTTGCTCTTTGTAAAAATCTGTTCCAAATTGTGTCAAAGTTACAGACTACAGGCTTTACAGCAATATTTAAATTGTGTTGATAGGTAATTAAATTACAGAACTTTTTCTTTTTAACGTTTGTCAGACAGTATTTGAAGCGGAGAGGAGCATCGAGAGGACTGATGGTGGCATTAATCATATTAATCGTCAAGTGCCAAAAAGTAATCGATTAATGTTTTTCTGACGATTAATTGCACACGATACGATTATACCCAACCCTAGTGTGTGTGTGTGTGTGTGTGTGTGTGGGGGGGGGGGGGGGGGTCAAAGTTGAGATTAGAGATGGGGCTATGACAACTGTTTTCAAAAATGTTTAGGCTCCTAAAATGCTTTGTCGAAATGGATGCAACTGGCTAAAATAAATACATAAATAAACAATTTGCAGGTTAACAAGGTACGAAAGCATAGAACTGTCACACGACAGAATTATTGTTGAGCTGTAGTTCATAATAAGAATCTCCTAGGAATGGGAAATCTTCATCATAATTACCAGATAACCATCTTGTTATGGGTGTAATGGTTTTGTGGTATGACATCATTTTGCAGTGTAAACATGGAGAACACGGGATCTTTAAAATAAGTTATTTCATCTATAATGTTTGAAGTTTAATGTTGACACAGACATGTTCTGCCAGCTCAGCTCCTGTGTCCCTGCTGAAAGCTGAGTCAGGAGCACAAAGCTGGGTTCAGTTCACTGGTACTGAGTGCAAACTGGAAACAGCTCTCTGACAGACTGATCAACCCAGTAATATATATGAGACTAATGCATTAATAATAATAATAATAATAATTCAAGTTTCAAGTAGTTTAATTGTCAATGAATTGAAGAGAATTGAAATTGTGTTACTCTCTTTCCCAGTTACAGTATTAAACTATTATTAATTTTACTATTTTTAATTACTACAGTATATTATTAATAATAATAATAATAATAAAGTGGCTGAAGCGATMCTGAGAGTAACAGAGTCCTCTGAATGCTTGACTAAAGTGGTCCAGGACATTTGGGACCACCATCAAGACAATTACATCCATGAAAGTGACGTCAGACCATAAAACACCAATAAATAACGTCAGGCTCATCTTTTACAAGCTTTCTCATTTCAGTGAGRCAGTTTTCTTTTTTTAGGCAACAGTTTAGTTTCTCGTCATAACGAAATATTGCTCAGATAATTTTCATTCAGTTCTACAGTTCAGTACTTTGTTATATCTGTAATAAAAATAACAAATCGAACTGAAATGAGAAGAAAATGTTGTTTTCCGAGGTACACGGGTTCATCTCACATCTACTCTGGAAAAAAAAAACCTTCGTGTTTAATAATAAAGTAAACACATTTAGTTAAAGGTTTGTTTTTATCTGGTCCGATAGATGTTCACACGGTCTTCAGTCATCCTGGATTAGTCCAAGAAGCGACAGCTTTAGCCACAACGCTGCAGCCATATCTCACTACGGTAACTAATTATAGTTTTCTTAATAAAACACCTGCAATAAAAACAAAGMGTAGCTTCTTCTTCCCACCGGACTGACACATAACACCATCCCTTCCGGAGACCCACTCACCTTGAATTCAAAAGATCCGTTTCTTTATTTAGATGTTTTTGTTGAACAATCCCAGTGCACAATAAAGCTTAGCCGTTTTGAAATGGCGACGAACAGTCCGACAAGAAATGAGAACACTTCCGGTTTAGGAAAAGCTGTCTACTCGATCAGTAGTTCCGTTGAAATGACGACGGGTTCAATTTTGGCTTAATGCATATTGCACATTTTCTGTTTGTACAATAAACCTCATTTCAATCCT